AAACCCAAGCGGTGAAAATCCAGACTGAAAGTTTTCGCCAGAGGAGGAGGAGCAGCAGCAAGGAAAAAAAAAAAAAAAAGGAAAAAAAATCCCACAAACTAAGATTCGAGGAGACAAGTCGAGATTCGAAGATTCTTCTTTAGATACCCAAAAAGCCATGAATCAAGAGCTTTTCAGATAAAACAGCACCGACTCAGCTTAATTCCTGGTCTCGTTTTACCCTCGTTACTTCACTCTGTTTCACCGTTCAAATCTGGTACCCATCTGTTATTATCAATTTAATTCTTAGCTTATTGACTCTGTTTTTTCCGTTTATGGTTTCGTTTAGTCCCAGTCTCACTTGGGTTTTATTCATTTTCTTCTATTAGAAGTGCATCCGAAGCCAGAATATATTTATCATAAGTTATTGCTTTGTTATTTATCCCGGCAAATTTGGTTTACTCGGTTTTCCTTTGATCTAGACTCCTAGTATTGTGCTCCAAATAGTAGATATGGCATTTGATAAAGATCTAAGACCCTTAAACGTATCTAGAACTCTAACTGAGGAGCCCCGCATTGTGGCTGCTACCACCACCGGCCGGAATATTGAAGGGTTTTTTGCCAACCCGGTCCCGGTCCGGGAACAAGGAAGCCCCGGGTCCATTCCCGTTTTTTTACCCGCGCCGGTGTCGGATGCAGGGTTTGTAGGTTTAGGGTACGGGAATCAGGCACCGGCTGTCTCGGCATGGTGCACTCGGGGCCCTGCACCAGTGGGTCATGCAGGGGTAAATCCACTGGTTGGGTTTGGTTATAGTCCCAGTTTAGTCAATAGGGTTGTTAATGCTGTTGATCAGTCGAGCAATGAAATGATGGCCGGGTTTGGTTGTAGTACCAGTATGGGGAATAGGGGTAGTGGTAATGGGAGTGATCAAATCAACAATGATTCAATGAATGCGAGTGCTTATGGTCCCAATTTGGGGAATAGGAGTACTGGAAATTTAGCCGAGCTCACAAGTGAAGAGGGTGGGGATGATTCTGTATCAGGAAAGAAAGTTAAGTTTTTGTGCAGCTTTGGAGGAAGGATTTTGCCTAGACCAAGTGATGGTATGTTGAGGTATGTCGGAGGGCTAACAAGAATCATTAGCGTGAGGAGAGATGTCAGTTTTGATGAGCTTGTACAAAAGATGGTGGATACCTATGGGAATCCTGTGGTTATTAAGTACCAGCTCCCTGATGAGGATCTTGATGCTTTGGTATCAGTTTCATGCCCTGACGATCTTGATAATATGATGGAAGAGTATGAGAAGCTGCTTGCAAGGTCATCTGATGGCTCAGTTAAGTTAAGGTTGTTTTTGTTTTCCTCTTCTGAACTTGATCCTTCAGGCATGGTGCAGTTTGGGGATTTACATGATAGCGGTCAAAGATATGTTGAGGCAGTGAATGGTATTATGGATGGGTTTGTTGGTGGCATCATGAGGAAGGAAAGCATAGCAAGTGCTACTTCAACCCAGAACTCTGATTTTAGTGGGGCAGAGGTTGTTGACGGCTCAGGTCCTGGGCAAGGTGATTTTGCTGGGATTTCATCACCTAAGGAGATTGTAGCCACTTCTCTTGACGCTCCTCTGAAAGCAGTGTCTATGGGGCCAAACTCTTCTATTTATGCAGATGGTTCTGGTTTTCCTACGGGAATTCCAACGTTTAAGACTGATCCTCCTCAGACCTTATTGTCTCCGCCTGAGGTTGAATCAGAGAGGCCAGTGCCTCTAAATGTACAGCAGCAGCACTTGGGATTTGATTTTCAGCAACATGGAGTAGCACCGCCTGCAACTTACGTGCAGCCTTATGTTGATCCTCGGCAAGAAGTTCCAAACCAAGCAGATTATCTGCATCTTCCTTCCCAAATGGGATTTCCAAATCCTCAAATTTTGGGTAATGCTGGTTCAACATTCACCCAAGCTCAGTTTCGTGAGAATGCTATTGGAGTTGCCCCCCCTCATTTTATTCCTGCTGTTCCCATGACAGTGACTGCCCCCACTTCTCATGCTGGTAGAAGGCCTGTGGTGGTTCAACCATTGGTGCAACCTCAACAAACTCTGTTAGAGCGATATCCTGATGAAAGTACTCTTCATTCAAGGGTTCTCCAGCTTCCTGTTGACCACAACTATATATATCAGTCCCAGGTGCCAACTACAGTGGTTGGAGCAGGTTATAGCTGGCATCAACCTTTGCCGTCTGATCGTGTTGTCTTCTCTAATGGATTGACACCTCATCAGCAGGTAAATTTTCCCGAGAAAATACAAAGGTTAGATGACTGTCTTTTGTGTCAAAAAGCATTGCCTCATGCACATTCTGATACTATAGTACCAGAACAAAGAGACAGCGGTTTGAGCCCTATGTCTGATTCTGGTTCAGGAGCCTCACTGTATCACAGTTTCCGTGTAGAAGATGGCACGAAAATCCGACCCCTAAACAAGGTTATAGGGACTGGACCATTGGGAGAAGGTATTATTGAACAGGGAGCTCCGGCTCAGTCAAGGGTTCTTACTCATTTGGATCATCCAGCTGGGGTGCCTCAGTCTGAAGCAACTGTTTTCTCCCGTAATCTGGAGGCACAACAAGAAAAGGAGAGAAGTGCCCAACAAAGGATGGATAATTTTGAACGTCCAGCTACTCATGGTGCGACAGGGTTGGTTTGTGATCTACAATCACCTTATGGTGTCTTCATGGGTCCTATCCCTGAGTCTCCCCAAAAAGCTGCTGTGCAGCCACAACTTGTACCCACTCAATACCAGGTTAAGAATGAACATATGCTCAACAAACATCTCTACAATGATGTTCCTCAGATTGGTGGTTTGCACGTTCAGGCTTCCGAATCATTGATTCGAGAGGCTCAGAAAGAATATTCAGTTAAAATCCCAGTTGTCCCAAAAGAAGATAATCAAGATGCCTCTACATCCTATGGTCATCTGAGGCCAGTTGATGGGATGATGCAGACTCTCCAGATATCTTCTTCTGAAATACATGTAACCAATGGACAGAATAAGTCACCAGTTGATCGAACTGGAAAGGAAGAAATATTGGATAACAAACACCAGCAAGTTGCAGGAAGAGAGATGCTTTTAGATAATACATTTTCCAAGCCTCCAGGGGTTATTGACATAAATCACATTAAACCAATTGAATTGCTGCCCTCTTCCTCAACAGTAGTTAATAATGTGCACAATTCTCGACCCGCAGAAACCTATGAGGTATCGCATTCTCATGTTTTGGATAATCCTGGTTTATATCAAGAATCAAAGGTTGGAGATTATCACTTGGATTCTGGTGATGTTTCTTGTGGCAGAGTTGCATATTCTGTAAGTGATCCGGCTTATTCGACTGCTAAAGTCCCTGCCATTGTTGATTGGAAGGATGATGTCTCATGGTCACAGCCAGAGGTTATCTTTGCTGATGCTGAAGCTGTTCCCCTGAGTGGTAGCAGTGTATCTTCTTTATCACCACTTACTAGGTCAGGAGAAGTTCAGGATTCCTCAAATTCACTGTTTAGCAACCAGGATCCTTGGAATTTGCGCCATGGTACTCATTTTCCTCCTCCTAGACCTAACAAAATTCAAATGAAAAAAGAGGTACTTCCTGCTAAAGATCACATTGTTGAGAACCATTTAGCCAAGGGAGGGGAATCAAATACAGAGATACAATTGAAGGATGGAATTCAACAACTACTGAGCAATTCAAATAAGGACTGCAACTCAGAGCAAGCATGGTCTGCCAAAGGTGAGATTTTCTTAGATGGTGAACAGTGCAGCCATTCATCTATTTCTTTTCTGTGGGGTGTTTGTTCGTATTCTTATTTGCTTTTTCCCCAATCTGTTAAAGACTCAGCAGAAGAACTCATCAAACAAGAACTTCAGGCTGTTGCTGAGGGTGTAGCTGCTTCTGTTTTCCAGTCCTCTATCGCTTCCAGTTCTGACTTGCCAGCTCAGATAAATGATTCTGTTCATGAATCCAATCAAGAGAAAGAAATTTCAAATAATGATCTAGAAAAACAACCTAGAAATAAAATTGAGGTGGTTACTCTACCATGTTTGTTACGAATCTGTTTGTTTTCTGTTTGTCTTTCCCCCCCTCCTTCAGTGTATGCTTTTACTGAACTGTTTCTATTCTATGGTTGCTTCAATTTTTATCTGTCAGGAGATTAGGACCAAACTTCCAGTAAGGGCTAACATTGGTTTTCCTGTTTCAAATGGTGTTGGTCGTCTGCAGGTTGATTTTACTATTTTCTTTCCATGTAGAGATTTCTGTGTATAACACACAAACCTGAGCCATATCTGTATGCATGCACATACACACACTTTCTGTATGTTTACAATGAATTCTTGCCCTTCAATTTAGCCATAACTTTTTATTGACAGATTATAAAAAGTTGTGATCTTGAAGAAATGCGAGAATTAGGTTCAGGCACCTTTGGTACAGTTTATCATGGAAAATGGAGGGGTACAGATGTTGCAATTAAACGGATTAACGATAGATGTTTTGCTGGGAAGCCTTCCGAGCAAGAGAGAATGGTTTGTTTTCATTCATGCATCGAATGTTGATATTCTATTTATGGCTTAAAAACGTACCAAACTTATAATTTCATGGTGTGTGTTTGTGTGCACACTAGCAGATAGATGATTTCTGGAACGAGGCAATTAAGCTTGCTGACTTGCACCATCCAAATGTTGTTGCTTTCTATGGTGTTGTTCTTGATGGTCCTGGAGGCTCTGTGGCAACAGTAACAGAATTCATGGTTAATGGTTCTTTAAGAAATGCTTTACAAAAGAGTGAGAGGTACCTTATCATTTCAATTTTGATCGTTTTTCTGCTAAATACCTTCATCTTACTAAGTCATGTTTTGATAGCATATGCCTAAAAATGTTCATTTTGATGATAAAACAATATTTACCTTATTGCAATTGTCATTTACCAGGAATCTTGATAAGCGCAAACGTTTGTTGATTGCGATGGATGTTGCTTTTGGAATGGAGTATTTGCATGGGAAGAATATTGTACACTTTGATTTGAAAAGTGACAACTTACTCGTCAATCTTCGGGACCCTCACCGCCCAATATGCAAGGTTATTACTTAGGGCTGAACTCTATTTACATTCTGCTTTGCCACGGTTTTTGGGTGGAAAGTCTTTTGATGTGAAATACCAAAGTTTCAAGGGCATCATTCTTAAGAAGGATGCATTTTCTTGGATATCCTGTTCAGACAATTTAATGGTGATAGAAAGAATATTCCTTACTTGTAAGAAAGCTAAAGATAACAATGAAGTAGATTATCTTGGTTTAGCCACGAATCCGAAACTTGAGGGAGATTGTGGACATATTGAAGCTGATCTGTGCTTTCTAGCGTTTGTGACTTTTTTGTGCTGATTATTAACTATGGGTCATAGAGGCTAGCCTTAAGGTTTATGATGGCTTTTTTAGATGGTTCTGGACATCATAAAGGTGTCTATGACGTAGGAACTGCAACTTCTAGGGGAACTTCACTGCTGCGGACTTTCCATGAATGGCCCTTGATAAGAAACTACCACAGTCTCTTCTAAGAAATAACAATTTATGTTAGCTTTTGAATAAAACTGAAAGAAACCTTCAATGACTGAAATGTACATTTAGTTATTGTTGTTATGACATAATAACTGAAGCATCATCTCTACAAAAATGTTATGCTTATGGTGTGATATTGAAATTTTTTTATACAGAGGTTGATGTATTGATCATTTCTAACTGGAATATCAAATTTAATCTTCTTCAATGTATGTCACTGTTATTCACAGTTTCGATTAACTGTGAACAACATCAGCAAAAGAAGAAAAAAGAAAGTCTTTTGTTCGGGCAGAAATAACATTCATCAAACTGAGTTTTCCCATAATAAGTCTTCCATTTTGTCTGCCCTTTTTTGTCTTGGGGTGCTCCAGGGATGAGTTTTTCTTCTCTTGTTAACCTTACAGAAAAAGAAAAGCAATAAAAAGAAAGACGAAGAGGAAAAGATGATGAGACTTTAAAAGTGCTGAGAATCTGTTAAATGTTCTACTAGTTAGGAAGAGGAAGTCCTGGTTTCTTCTCCTTCCATTTTCCTTTTAGAGATGCACTTGTCATTTCTGCTTGTGGTTTCAGGTTGGTGATTTGGGCCTATCAAAGGTTAAATGCCAGACGTTAATCTCTGGGGGTGTGCGAGGAACCCTTCCATGGATGGCACCAGAACTTCTAAACGGAAGCAGTAGCCTCGTCTCTGAGAAGGTTTTTCATCCTTTCTTCGACCATAAATCCCTTTTATCCTGTCCTCATGCATCTTTAAATCCAATTTGTGTTTATTTAGGTGGATGTATTTTCATTTGGTATTGTGATGTGGGAACTTCTTACTGGGGAGGAACCATACGCAGACTTGCATTATGGAGCTATTATCGGTAACATTCCTCTTGGCCCTTATCTCATTTTGTTGACCATGTTGAGCATAGAATTCGTATTGCTGATTAGTGGCCTGATATATTCATTCAGGCGGTATTGTCAGTAATACATTGCGGCCACCAGTTCCAGAATCTTGTGATCCAGGATGGAGATCACTGATGGAGAGATGTTGGTCATCCGAACCGTCAGAAAGACCAAGCTTCACCGAGATTGCAAACGAGTTGCGCTCTATTGGAGCAAAGATTCCTTCCAAAGGATAGAGTGGAACACAATCTCAGGTTCAAAAATAATTTGAAAGACTGCTTGCATTTCTTTGTTCATAAACTCTTCGATCATCGGTAAATTTATAGGAAAGGAATTTCTTGTACTTAATTTTGCCTCAATGTAACACAACATCACTGCCAATGTTATTGGACAGAACTTGATAGTTAATAAAACTTTATATGCCTTTCAGTTCTTTGATATGTTTCTCTGTTGCTGAAATCATATATATATATATATATATATATATATTTAACTAGGGATTTATGGTTGAGAATAGGCAGTGAATGCTCCAGTTAGATTTTGCTCTTGTGATGGTGATGTTCAGGTGTGTATAAACTTAGTGATGTGATAATATTGATTTATTTTTTACTTGTGATTGAATGGGCTGTATTTTCTTTCCTTTATATGTTTATTATATATATATATATGATATTATTAGAAGGTTATATCATCTATATTTCATTATTTTTTTATAAAAAAAATTTAAACAATCTATGGTACTAGTATTAGACTTGTTTACCCATTAGGCCAACATTTTAAAAACGGCGTAGTATTACAATTTATTATTATTTATTTATTTATTTATTTTGCAATTAACCCTTTATTACTAATATGGTTGCTCCACAAAGAACAACCAAGTTTGAATTTAATATTTTATTTTTTCATAATATTCTGAACCAAATAATTCTTAGTTCAATTTTTTTTTGATTATATCTTACCTTTTACTGAACTTTAATTCATACATTTTTTAAAAAATTACAATGATTTATTTTAAGATATCTTGCATTTTAATATTAAATTCATCTACACCAGTGGCTACTTGAAAATCAAGTTCTTGACATGAGAGAGCAGTAAAATTTATATGAACATGATGGTATGAGATTTGATGTAAAATCAAGTCCCCTGCTTTGGCTGGGATGGTTACTTGCTGCTATTTGGATGGACATGGTATGAGTTTTGATGTAAAACAGTAAAAATTTGTACTTCATTTAGTACGTGAAGGTTATACTAGATTACTCGGAATTCATCGTATTTGTACATAAACTTCTATCATTCTATAACAATTCAATAACTTTACATAATAAGTGATTACCACACAAAATCACTAAATTACTCTGAAATCTTAGAAAATTACTAGCAAAACATCATCTTTCTGAAGCATCATTAAGTTTTTCCAAATCCGAGATCTGCAGATTCTTGTCAGGGCATTATCGGCTACAGTTTTCATCAGCTCACCATTTGCGTTTGCTCTTCAAAGCGGACGATGAGGTGCTATGCCAATTTCTTTTTCTTTGATTGATGAACCAGTTATTTATCTGCTTCAATTGCAACCCTGTTTCCTGGACCAGCTTTGCTTTGTCTTCCTCCTAACACAAGGTTTTGGAAAAAGCAATTGAGAGGTTTTGAGAGGTAGTTGGAAAATTGCATGAAACTGAGAGTAATATAAGAGGTAATTCAGTGACACTTACTGTTGGGTATGGCCATTTGGAATGTGATTGCCACCAAGCTTTCAAGAGGGAGGTAGTGTCTCCGGGCAATTTTCCTGCTCGTCTCTTTCGCAATATTTCTTCTCTAACATCCACGATCTTCTCCTTGTAACCCTAGAAAGTCAAGAGTAGATTAGTTACAGGATATGTGTCTACTAATGTATAAAGCAATACATTGAGCTCTTTCTTGTCACTCAAGTTTTTGACACACAGTATCAGAGTCAAAGGTTTAACGATGTAAAACGCTAACTGCCACTCGTATCAATGTATAAATGAAAAATTGGACTTTTTTCTACTAATTTAAATTTTTATGATAATTGTCTATTTAATCGGTTGGTAACTATTTTCATTTATTTATATAAGAATATAAATTTGAGTCAAACTGTGTTTCTGTATGTATTTCTTTTAAAAAATTAATTGTGTTGTTTTCTCGTTAGAAAGATGATTACGTTCTTATTGGCATAAGTGCCACTAAATTATTAAAATATATGAATTTTTATTTTTTTGTACCTGCTTCAGTTCATGCTTTAGTTCTTCCCTAACACGCTCCATCAAGGACCTCTCACTCTCGGTAGGAACGAGTGGACCAAATCCCATGGTATCAAGGCCATCGACGCTCCCTTCAAACAAATTGGCATCGCTGTCGACATGCTCATCATCATCTGACATTGTTGCACCCGTGCCTTCACCGGGAGGAACACCTGTTTGGACGAAGACTCATATCTGATTTGCTTAGCAACCAGAAGCTTAACTGCATAGATTGATATCAAAGACAGAAGGAAACCAAAGGGAAAAAAGAATGTGGAAGATGAAATTTTAAACCATGCAAACAAATCTGTTATGAAAGCAACCGGTTAAGCTTTGCAGAGATTGCTCGAGATCCCAACAAGCCATTACAGCTTCCATCGCATGAACCCGAACATGCTGTTGCAGTTGGTCTTTAAAGGAACAGAGCAACAGAATGTAATGTGTCTACATCAGAAAGAAAGAAAAATGGAAGGGGAAAAGAAGAAGATACTCAGATGAAAAATGAAAAAGATATCGTATATAAAATATCAGCTTAAGCAGGAACAATTAGAAAACTCCAAAATGATAAAATATTCTTTAGTTGAGGTTTAATCTTAACAATAGAATAAATGTATATACGATCAAAGAAAAGTCCACTCAGAACAAGTCGGGATTAAGCTTTAAAATTAAGTTTCTGTTTAGTTAATCAATTTCTATGTTTCATTTTCACACTAATTTTGGTACTCATGATATTATATGCTTGTTTTCTAGTTCCAGGTGTTTAAGAATTTCACAAATTTCCGTTTCTTAACCTCTTTCGAATGCAGTAATTCAAGAATTACTGCTTACCATCTTCTGAAAAAGTCATCACTTTGCAAATTAACACAGACCATCTTCTTTCCTCTGCTCGCTCTTCATTATTTCGTTCTCAATGCCTATAATACCCACTTTCAAAGTTCCAAACCCAATTATGCAGATCCAGAAGTTTAAAGTTCATATTTTCTTCTCCAAAGCCGACTATGAAAAACCATAGGTTTTAAGTTTGATAATGTCTTTCCCTTCTATATGGTCACTCCCATAAAAGGCAACTAAAAAAGAAAAAGAAAAACCTATATAGTAATTCAACACAAAGGATACTCTCAACCTCGCGCCAAATATCTGAACATATGTTGTTCGAATCATATCCTCAAAGCTTTGTCTACATTATGGGAAACACTGTCGAGCTTGCAGGATCTGTTTGACAGGATAATACTCCTGCTACACTAAAACAACAAGCTTAACTAAGTAAAGCACAAATTCCTCTTTACATTCAGATAAACATATGTCCTTCTCTAATGATCTTCATGCATTATCATGTTAATGCATACAATGCTATCCATCAAGAGAGAATCTATTTTTATCAGAGGTAGCAGATAATAAATCTCAGGCCACAATCTACGAAAAATGATTGACGTCGAAGACGACCTCACTGCCATAAACTCACGATGACAATCCTAACTTATGTCTATACTTTTCTATTTTAGTTTTTTTTAGCAGAAAGGGTGTCATTCACCATATCTCACCGAGCAATCTTCAGAATTTTGATTCCGAAGTGATTATCTACGCTCTTTTAATAATTATTTACTCCCTCAAAAATCAATTTCCATATATGATCTAAAGCTTTTACATGTTGAGGAAGCCAAGTTGAAAGGGCATTGTAGTAGGATCCATTGATGAACTACTTCCAAAAGCAGTTTCATGCACTATAAAAAACCTATATATACATAAGCACCATTCCTGCCTTCGATGTAGATACACTGCAAGTACATAATCCATGCATGATTCGTTTTCTTTATATATAAAACATGCTACTCGAAGATACTTGATGCCGGTTGATCAAGCCGGAACAAATTCTAACCCAAACCAAGGAATCAACCAACTAGCAAGTTGGAAAAAAGAAAGAACATGTTGATAAAATTAATCAACATAAGATTCTTTAAAGCACTTGGAAAGTTCAATTATTTAGTGCATTGAACAGCATGATTCTTCTACTAGCTGCTGCAGCCATGCCATTTTTTATCAAAAACACATAAGCCCGTGACTGTTATCAACTCATTAGCCTTTTTCTCAAATCAGCTTTAATGTCAGACGTGAAAAAAAACACCCTCTTTCTTCATCTCTCTCAATTGACCAGATTGAGACCCAGATATGGAGGAAAGTGGTTTTTACTGTTCTCGTTCTGGAGGTTCATCAAATACTATTATTAAGTCAATGAAGCCAGATTAAACCCATTTTAAAAATAAACCCAGAAAGAAAAACAGAGAAATCGATTCTAAAAACAGAGATTTTGACATTAAAGAAATGAACTATATGATTCTAAATTTCTAACCATGAACTGATCAAGCTGGTCCTTGTCATCATCCAGGCGTCCATCACCAGCTACGTAGTACTTAGCCACCACCTCCTGCGACTGCGCCAACTGGGTATCAATCCTCGGCAGCTGGTCAACTGGCGTGGCGATCCTCAAACACGCCACGTGTGCAGACAGCAACTGTCCGTACAAAGGATGCCCTAGTATGGCCGCTTTGCATCTCGCGCTCTCCCAGCTGTTATCATTATCATCCCCACCGCAATCTATCAACTCCTTGTCGCCATTTCCATTCTCTGTACTGTTACTGCAAGTGGGTGCTGAAAAGGTGTCGTTTTGCAAATGAACGAAGCTCTGATGCCGCTGCTGCTGCTGCAAAATCGCGTTGTTGAGCCACGCAGGACCGCCGGCGGCGGAGGAGAACGGCGGCGGGGTCGGAGCTTGGTCGATGACGAGTCTTTGCATGTGCTTGGTTTGGTCCGCGAAAATGTCGTTAAAACCTACCTCTCCGTCGTGGTAAGCCATTTTGGGTAATCAGTTAGCTCTTTAATTAAGCACTTAAAGAGGAAGAAGTGCTTTTTTGGGAAAAGAAGTGAAAAAGAAAAAGCGGTTTTAAGAGTTGAGAGGGAAACACTTTGCTGGGGCAGAAGCTGCTTATTGATATATAGTTGGGGGATCGTGAAGAAGAGATTTTGGAGGGTAATTCATCCGAGGCATGTTGGATGATCTAACGGTAAAGAGAAGTGCCACGTGTAAAATTTGGAGGTAAAAAATGATGGTACGTGGTGCAAGTAAATTACTTCCAAATACACTAATTTTTTTAATAAAAAAAAGTACATCCAAATTTTAATAATTTATAACTATTCTAATTAAAAAAATATAAATATTATAAAATATTTTTTTTAATTTAAAAATATAATAAATTTATTAAAATTTAATTTATATAATTTTATTAAAATATTAAGGAACTAATAATTATAAATTATTTTAAATTTAATTAAATATTTTAAAATATTAAGTCTGTTTGCGGTTAAGGTTCTGAATAGAATCATCTGTTAGGAATCGATTCAGATCAATGTTTACTCTAATCTTGTTCAAACTATTAAATTTCGTTTGATTAAAAATTGAACGGTTCAAATTCAGTATGTTTACTGAAAAAAAAAAATTATTGTACAGATTTTTTAGCTAACCATATTTTTTCGAAACCTCTTGAATTGCACTCCCACAACCTACTTCTCGCCGATCTTGTTCGACTCACTAGTGACGACTTAGTCGGTGTGTCATAACTTAGAATGTGTATGACCTAAGCTTGTATATTTTTCATTATATAAAAAAAATATTAATTAGATATGATACAGTAAAAAAAAGAAGAAGTAATTATTCTGTAGAAAAAGGGTTACTATTAACGAAGCACCTCCGGCGCATGTTATCAAAACTCATGACAAGGACATCGCTTACGTGTCAATCTCACGTTTCATGGACCACTTCGAAGAATGGAACGACCAACAAATCAGGTCCGTAGAAACATATTAGTATTCACCGAAAGACAACTTCATGAAACTGTTAGATTTAATAAAAAATATATATATATTTTACCAATTAATTTTCCGAAAATATAAAATAATACTTTTATTTTTATTCCTAAATTATACATTATGTAGGTTCAATGTTTTCTACACTTTAAGAGTTATAATTTATTTTAAAATTATTAATATACTAAATTTAAATTTTTTAAAAATTAAATATTTTACTATTAGAATAATATTGCATTTATAAATTTTACTAAATTTAATTATATTTTTGAACAAAAAAAATATTACGTAACAATTAAAATTTTTTTAATTAGAATAATCATAAAAATTTAATAAAATAATTTTTTTAATTAAAAAATTCCAAAATTTAGGTATGTTAATTTCCTTTAATTTTACTAACTTATACCTCTTAATTTAAAAAAAAAAAGAATATGGGAAATTAATTTTTCCTTAAATAAACATATATATATATATACATATACATATATATATATATATATATATATATGTTAAGAGTTTAGAGACATGGCGATGTTCCTCTGACAAATGCAGAGAGACATGTGTCTGAAAATAATAAGGTGGTTGATTTGATACGAAGAGCAGGGGAAAATTAAAGCATGTTTCAACATTTCAAGGTAAAAGTCAGATTTTGTCCCATGTCTTCTTCTTCTTCACTCTTTGATATTTTTGTTTGGCAATTTTGGTTTTCATGGCATCTTTCTCCACTATGATCTTTTAGTTCCCATACAATCCATGGCATTTCTGTGAGTTTCACAAAGAGAGCTCTTACCCTACAAATAAAACTACTTACTTATAAATTTGTTTCGGGTCTAGGGTAATTTTAGATTATTGTATTTTGTATTCGAAGTGAGCTCGATTTTAACAAAACTCAATCGAAATGTGTGAGTTTCACAAAGAGAGCTTACACCGTACAACTAAAACTACTTACTTATAAATTTGTTTCAGGTCTAGGTTAGTTTTAGATTATTGTATTTTGTATTCGAAGTGAACTCGATTTTAACAAAACTCAATCGAAAACCAATCGTATAGTAACCATCTTTTTTTTTTTTAAAAAAAAGATGACCCAAAAGTCGAATAGAATAGTGTTAATCGGATTTGATTTGAATGAACCCGATTTAATCCGAACTTATAAATTTGTACGACCCCTAAGTACATCCATAACCAAATCGAATAATACCTTGAAAAAAAAAAGAACCAAGACTTAAAAAAAAAAACTGAGTTTTGTTGTGCAATATGTGTGTATGTATCTTTGCAAAGACACAAACAATAAAATTACATATTGCTGGTGCCGTATATATATGTTATACGGTAGAGGAGAGTCGTGCATCGGATAACTAGACATAATGTAACCCCATTATTGATGAAACCAGTGTCTTCTTCTTCAAAAATAAACATTGTTGACCGTACCATACCCACAAGTAGTTGGCATTTTTCTAGGCCTCGTTTGGATGACAATAGTACTTTGTACAGAATGCGTTAAGTGGTCCTAGATTCTTTTCATCATTTAATCCAATATTATCATTCATGATATTTTTTTTTTGTTATAATTTAATATTTCATACTTATATATATATATATATAGAGCAATAGAATTAGTACCCATTGAAGTAAATAGTGGCGTGTACATTTTTTTTTTCACTGAATCTAAGAGACAACAATAACTAGCAGCCAAGAAATTTACATCATTTGCAGTCTGCTCATCAACTGGCCTTGCAAGGACGATAACTATTCAGGACCCATCAGACTTCTTTTTTTCACAAAAGTAAAAATACAGAAATCAAATGCAGAGAGAGTACTTTAAAGCCATTTATACTCTCAGAAGTACACAATAATTTCTGAATGGAAAGTACGAGCGCACGTTGCCATGTTGGTCAGATTCTTAGTTTCACCTCTGTGAAAGTTCAAACTCAAAAATGAAATTTCAACCATGTCAAGGTGATAGGATTAAGAACACTTTACCTAATCAGCTTCACTCCAAATGATCTTCAAGTATAGTCCTCACAGTTCTTCTGGGTCTATAGTTTCAGTACGGTAGGTGTAGGAAAATGATCTTTAAGTATGGTCCTGAAGTTCTTCTGGGTCTACAGTTTCAGTATGGTAGGTGTAGGAAAATGTGCATTTTCTAGGAATTCAATGACAATAATAATTTCGATACACATTTCAAAGAGTGATCTCAGTTAAATACTATCAACATGTACAGATATAAAATCTATGTACTGATTTCACGGTATGTGTCCGGGGTACATTACTATCTTTCCTAAATACATTGACGAAGGTTTTGGGATCATGTTATCGATGGAAGAGCGATAACATATATAATAACGTAAAAGTACGAATCTCTCAGAATACTTGCGTACGAATTAAGAGAGAATGAAAATGGTGTATTATGTAAAAGCACATTATATTGGAATTTTTGATACATTTTACCTTTTCTTGGCTAAATTGGAGATCATACCTTTCTTCTCCTTCTGGCCAAGTTCGAGTGTAGGATCAATTTGAACGGAAATGATAGCTTGGGCTTGAGCATGTTTGTTGGCCACCCTATAGGAGAAAATGTTAAATGAACTCAAGAAATAAATAATTCTGCTCAATTGCAGTATATTCTAATCCCTTTCACATTGAGCTTCATACAAAACCCTTTTTGAGGAGGAGCAAGTTATGTAGAAGAGCTAAGATATTATTATACATACACATGAATAGCACAGAGCCTGAATAAATCAATTATATGTTTAAGGGAGACTAGGAGGGGAAAGGGAAGGTTTTGTGACTTTGAGCTCTCCACAGTCACTAA